CCAAATGAGTTTGTAGATTAGCTTCAAACTGTTGAACAAGTATTTGAATATAAAAAGATTCTAAATGCACAAAAAGTCAAGATTGTCGCCTTTAAACTCAAGAAACATGCCTTTATTTGGTGGGAAAACCTGAGATAGAAGTAAGAACAAAAGGAAAAGCACAAGATTGAGACATGAGAAAAAATGAGACGTTGACTCACTCGAAAATTTCTATTAGATCATTACCACCAGAATAACTTTCTCCAGATATAAAATCTTCTACAGAGGTCTTTGTCTGTAGAAGAATATACTAGAGAATTTGAACAACTCATGATAAAGTGTGACATTCAAGAAAAAGAGGAGAAAATAATAGCCCGATACCTTGTAAGCTTAAACACAAATATCAGCCGTCTAGTCCAACTTCAATAGTATTAGACCTTAGATGATGTAAACTATTTAGCCATGCATGTTGAGAAGCAAACACCCAAGAGAACATCTTTCTACCCTCTTTCTCTAGGGGTTATTCAGTTGCCCATAAGGTAAAGTTTTAGCAGACCAACCTCTAAAGCAAGCCACAATTTGGCACTATGCATAAACTATCGCTCAATACCACCAACGAATTTGGCTCTAAAGCAATCAAATGCTTTAAATGCCAAAGATTCAACCACATTACTATGGATTGCCCTACATGGAGGATTGTCACCATTAGGGAAGGGCAAGTGTATGAAGCACTTGAAGAAGATAAGGAGAAGACTAAGTCTTATGAGACCACTCTAGTATATGATGAAGAAGTTACGCTTGCAGATCAAGTTAAAGCATTTGTGATTAGACGAAGTCTATATATAACCGTAGTCAAGGAAGAACCTTGGCTACGATGCAACATTTTTCACACCTATTACATGGCCTAATGAAAAGTTTGTAATGTCATTATTGGTAATGGAAGCTGTGAAAATGTAGTGTCCGACTGCATGATTAAGAAATTAAAGCTACCAACATAAGACCATTCGCATCCTTACAAGCTTTACTGGCTTAATAAGGGGAATGAGGTAAAAGTTTTTAAACAGTAATGTCTTGTGACTTTTTCTATTGGGAACAGATATTGTGATGAAATTTTGTGTGATATTGTTTCTATGGATGCATGCCACCTTCTTTTGGAGAGACCGTGGCAATATGATCGACATGTTGTGCATAATGGCATGCAAACACGTATTCTTTCACAAAAGATGGTGTCAAGTTCACACTAGCGCCTCTATTACCTAACAAGATTAGCTAGTCTTCAAGGAAATCTAACGCTTTTAAGCCATTGGTGTTTTTGATGACTAAGGAGAAATTCAAGGTGATGAAATCCAAAGCTCAAGTGTACAATGATTAGAGATAGTCTAAGGACCACCATTAAGAATTCTATTATAAGTAGATTGGTCCTTAGTTCTAATAATGTAGTAACTATTAACCAAATCTATTAATTCATAATATTTTAATTGCCAAATTCTAGCAAACCTGGGTTTGAGAAATTTAAGATTAAGATGTAACCCTAGTGTGTTGATGACTATAGCATTCATCTAAGGCAAGCATATTTTCTTTCATTCCTCGTTAGAGATTTGTAGAGCTAAGTACTAATCCATTAGCTTTTCTGTTCTTTCATATGGCGACCATTCCTCATCGAGCTCTTTAGCAAGGACTTCATTATTATGACTTATTTCTCTCATAGTGGTGATTCCATAACAACCATTATAACCAATCAACAAATCTTTATAAGAGATAGGAGCTTTTATCTCTTAGAATGATGCTGGATTATTGTAATTTGCAATAGCTATAAGACCATTATTAGATTGTATTTCCATTGGATGATCATGATGGTTCATGGACATAGCCTTCTTATTATGTTGAATTTGAATTTCTAATAATTACTGTACTTCTGTATCTTTATCAATCATCTCATCATCTGGCTTTAAATTATTGTTGAGTAGTAAGTCAATCTCCTATTTAGATGCAAGTGGATTCATGGTCTCTTCGTGGGATGATGATGTTGAGAAAATGAAGTTAGGATTAAGTAAAGGCTTGGTAATCATAGAGTAGAGTGGAGGACATGATTTTATGTTCAATCGAGTGATTGATTACTTTCAAGGAAGTTCGAGTAGGCTAGAGATTTTTCATTTCTCCACAATCATAGATTAAAGGAAAAATTAATCGTTTGATCCTTGTAGTTTTAATTTTGTTGCAATTCAATCCTTGAACTTTGACTCGTTATAACTCAATCCTTGAAATTTTGATTCGGTTGTAAATTAGTCTCTAAACTTTGCCTCTTGTAATTTAGTTCATGAAGTTTCAACCTCTTAAATATTGGTCTCTATATTTTAAAAAATAAAATTATAAAGATTAAAAATATTTTAAACTTTTAATATTTACAATATTTATAGAGATTAAAAGGGTTTAATAATTTAAAATATTAGTGATAAATTTAAAAATATTTTTAATCTTTATAATTTTATTTTTTTAAATATAAAAATTAATATTTAAGAGGTTGAAATTTTAGAGGCTAAATTGCAAGAAGCAAAGTTCAGGAATTAATTTACAATCGAATCAAGACTTCAGGAACTGAATTATAACGAGTTAAAATTGAGAGATTGAGTTACAATTGAATCAAAATTATAAGAATTAAATAATTAATTTTTTTAGATTAAAAAAACCTAACTCCTTAAAATAAATTGTTAAATCATGTCAATTTACCTGACTCTTCATATCACCAGGTTGGAACTATAGATCTCTTATACTCGCACAAGAATCAATCAATCCATGATGCCAATGAAGCTAGGCCTATATCTCTGGGCTTCTGGCGCTAGAAAACACTTGGCTGACAAACCTGTCCCGTCTCTAATATATTTGTGGCTTTTGATTCATACTTATGCTCTAATATATTTCGCTGTCTTCGTCCAACTCGCCACCCTAATTTCCCCTATTCGTTGCTTCTTACCATTCAAAACATTTATATTCAATCTTGTAGTTGTAAAATATCTGAGCTTTCAGTTTCTGATGAACCATCAATTCCTCTAAGAGCATGCCATAAGCATCCTCATTTCATCACCCAAGCAAAACACATTACAAAGGGGATTTAGAAAATAGCTAGGAGTGACAATCAATAAAAGTAAAGAAAACATAAGAAAGAGTTATCGTGAATTTGGTCAAATGGTCAAAATGTCGCAAGCTTGCTGGACTTGAGGCATGGCGCGAACAAACTCATTGATCCTCATACATCGGCTACAAAACTTTTTTTTTTTTTGTCCTTCAATTCTGATCATTTTGGTCATTCTGATTTCATTTACTTTCATCGTGACAAGCAAAATTTAGAGGAGTGTTCATTTTTCTTTATTGAGAATACCAAACATCCATATTATTATTTCATTCAATTTTCCAGTTTGCTTTCTGTTTCTTTAAAATATTTTCAAAAAAATATAACTTTAGGTTCTTATACTTTGCTTGTATTTTGTTATTGATCTCTATACTTTTTCATGTATTTTTAATCTCTATATTTTTATTTTTTATTATTTTAAATTCCTCTAAGATCTTTATACTTGTTCATGAAGGGATCTAAGAAAAATGAAAAAGAAAAGTAGAAGGACCAAAAATACTGAAAATTAGTACAAAAATCAATAATAAAATATGAGGAAAGTACAAGAACTTAACATTATGTTTTTCCAATATTTTCAATATTGTCCAAAAAAATTCTAATAATTTCCAAGTATTCTATGAACAGAACATTAAACGCACTCGTTGCAAGGTACTTATTTGATACTAATATTTAGCCCACCGACAGTCGTGGTTTAAAAGTAGTCGACACTGAACATTAGATGACTGCCCGGGCAACCCTCATCGGCAACTTGCCTGTTCTTTGCATTTTATATAGAACATGCTCTCGCCAATTGCAACCATTAACAGTGAGGGAAGGAATATCCCAACATGGATCCAATGTCAATCCATTCCTCCAGAGTAGCAATTTAAACCAATGAAAGATCATTAAAATCAAACATCACTAACGTTATCAAGTTTCCTAATTTTTTTATTTTTTGTTTCGGGGTCTATTCAAGTGCTGAAAGCTGATTCTCTTATGAAGTTTCTTTTGAGCAAAGTTAGGCTTTTTGTGGACCCAGTGGCCTGGCAGACCCAACGTGTCTCCCCCATGTGCGTGGCTTCACTCTTGTGCAATTAAGGCCGAAGTAAAAGCCAGCCAGAACCACACATTTATAACGAGGCTTCGTCATTTCCTCTCTTCAAGGCTTAAAATTAAATTAATACCTTTTCACGTCACAAATATACATAGCCTTATAGCCTTCAAAGAACTCAAGGGAATATTTGGCTTTTTCCTCAATTTTTTTAAAATTATTTTACAATATAATTTTTTAAAATTATATTTTAGAACAAAAAAAATATTAATTTAAAAAAAGTTTTAAAATAAAAAAAATTAACTGATAGCATGATCATTAATGTTTAATAGTGACAATTTATAATAATCATTAATCAAGATAATTATAATTTCTAATAATAAAATATAATGCATTTAAAGAAAACGAAAACAATTTTAAGATATTTTTATTTTTTTATTTAAAAAATTAAAACAATTAAATCTAAAATATTTATTTAAACAAAGTTTTTAATTTTTCCAGTTTTATTAAACATATTTCTTGTTTTTAGTCTGTGTGTCCACTCAGAAGGACCCCACAGCTTGGCCAAAAAAAAAAATACCTTACAGAGACCGACTATCAACAGCGTCTCTCCATTTTTTTCCACCCTTTTTCACCAATTTTTTCATCCTCACCATTCATTAATTTTATTATTTAAAAAATTATTTAATAAAAAAATTTAAACGATGAAGATGGAAAAAATGAAGGAAAATGAAAAAATAAAAAATGAAAAGACCCCACTTCCCCATCGACCACAGCAACTCTCCCTTCTTTAGCTCCCCATTTTTTGTTTTTTGGGGTCTTGTCTGACCCCACTCATCACTCATCCAGCAATTAGGTGAAATCTTTCACAACACAAAATCCCATTACTGGAATTTTTACATTATAATATAATATAATTCTTCCATTAACCAGATTCCTTCTCAACGAACTCGAATCCGTGTTAATACTGCAGATCTGGTCACTCTAATCCAGAAATCCCAACCGTACAAAACACATTCAACCCCAAGGCCATCAGCAGATTACAGAGGCCGAATCAGAATTGGCTACATAATTTAAATCGTAAAAATCATCTGTTCCTCTTATTGAAATTCATCTTCTCGTAGCAACTGATCGACATCAGACACAAGGAAAGATGAACCTCGTCTTTGCCCAGCCGAGACGGTGGCTTCGATGGAATCTTCTTCGGGACCGCAGCCCAAGCCGACGACGAAGATGACGAGGCCGAACACGCCTGCGGCTTGGATAGAGGCCCCAGGTAAAGCGCGTGAAGACGACGGAATCCGCCGAGTGCAAGGACCACCGTACGCAGCTGCTGCTCGCTACAGCCGGTGTTTGCCCACTGCTTGGAGCAGATCAACTCCCACAATCGCTCGTCCTGCGCCGTCCTATGCCACTGCTTGCTCACGCATCCCGCCATCGCCAGCGTCTTCGCGTCCACGTGCTTCAGCACCTCGAACAGAAGATTCTCATCCAGATAAACAAACCCGCCGGAGTTTTCCGCTGTTCGATCGTCGGGTTCCTCGTCGCTCTCCGTCAGCTTAGCCTTCTTCATCTTCCTCTCATCGCCAGCAGCCGGTGTGCCATCACCGGGAAGGAGCCTCTTCATCCCTGAGCGGCTAAGCCTAAATTACAAGCGGGCTCTGTTCGCCGCCTACTGTTTTGCAACGAGCAAGAAGAAATCTCGAGGTGCGTTGTTCTGGTGGGGTTTGAAATTTAAAGGAAGAGGAAGGATTGAAGGGAGCGCCTGATCGAAGAAACTGAGAGAAAGTACGATGAGGAGGGCGCGAGGGCAAAGATAACGGAGGGATGGTAGAGTAAAAGTGAGGGTTAGGGGGAGGCAAAGCAAAGCAGAGGATCTGTATCGCACCCGTTCGTGACGGTTTTTGAAGACGACAAGATGTGTAATGAATGCGTTTGGATTCCTTTTTTTGTGAATAGACCCACTTGTCCGGAGCCTCATGGCTCATGGCCTCATGCTTTTGTTTCTATTCACTTTCTCCTCATTCCTCCCGCTCTGTTCTCTTCCTCCTTTCTTTTTTCATGTTTTCTTTGCTACCTGACAAACACAAATACGACAAAGCGTACAACACTAATATACTAATTTTTTTTTAAAAAAAAAAAACTTTAAACTTCAGACCGAAAACCCAATACAATGAGAACAATCATCGAAATTGCCAAAAACTTTTCTCACAAGCATAACTTCTAGATTCGTTATTAAAGCCAAAGAGAATGTGGTTGAAATGCCTTGTTCGTGGGTGACGCTCTTTTATATAACAAACTTGACTGCCAAATTAAATAGTTTTCAGGTTTGGACTTTGGAGGATGTTTTATATCTTTTATATGGAAAAGATACAAAAACTAGTCTCCTTTGAGCACAACTCTGTAATTAGAATTAGAATATTACAAAATTAGATCTATTATGAACAATGACAAAGTAAAACTTCACCTATCAATCAAGAGGGCAGGGGCGCCAGTGTTTCGATTTGAATGACAAACCTTGACCAACGAGGGGTCATTTTGGTATGAGAAATTTTCAGACTTTGTCATTATAAAAAAAAACGTTAGGTTTGGAAAAAAGGTGTAACAATCGATGACCTATGATATTTAAGGTATGTTTGTTTTCTGTTTCTAAAAATTATTTTTTATTTTTAAAAATAAAAAAATTAAAAAAATTGTTTGGATAAGTGTTTTTATTTAGTTATTTTTAAAACTGTTTTCATTTTTTATTTTTTAAAAAAATAAAAAAATTGTTTTCATTTTATTTTTCTTATTTTAAAATACACTACATTTGATTATTAAAAATTATAATTACCTTGACTAATTTCTATTTGAAAGCTATCAAAGACAAGAGAGATGAATTAAAAAATGACTAAAAAATATCGTATCTATTATTGAGATAAAAATTACATTATATACACAAAAAAAATAAATAATACAATAATGATTAATAACTATATAACAATATCTTCTAATAATAATTGAGATATATACACAATAATAATAAAAGACATTTGAAAAATATTTTAGATAACATTCCCCTCAAACTCAAGATGCCTAATAGAAAGCAACTTGAGTTTGCCTACTAAAAATTGAAAGTGACCTGGATAAAAAGACTTTGTAAACAAGTCTACCAACCAGTACTTGGTTCGAATTAAAACAAGTTAGATGGTGCCTCGAACAACATGTTGCCAAGTAAAGCGATAATCAATCTTAATGTGTTTGGTTTGCTCATGAAACACATCACTGTGAGCAATACTGATTGTAGCTTGACTATCACAATAAATGTCCGTAGAGTAACTCTGAGATGCTCCCAACTCATCAAGTAACTAACGAAGCCAAAGTACCTCAGCAGTAATGTCTGCTGGTGCATGATATTCTGATTTAGCACTAGAGCGAGAGGCTAATGTCTGCTTCTTACTTCTCCAATAAATAAGGGAATGATCAAGGAAGATACATAAACCTGTCATTGACCGTCAATCATCACAATCATCATCTCAATCGGCATCAAGGTAAGCTCGCAGTGCAAGAGAGGAGCTAGCAAAGAAGTAAAGCCCATAATACATAGTGCCTTTGATATATTGAATGATTTGAAAAACTGCTAAATAATGAGTTTTGCGAAGTTCAGACATAAACTGGCTGGCAACATGAACTACATGGACAATATCAGTACGGGTGACAGCAAGATAGATGAGGCCCCTAACTAGTTGGCAGTAACGGGTGGGATTATCCAACAAGGTGCCATTAGTGAAAGTATAGTGAACATTTGATTCAATAGGAGTAGTTTCAACTTCTTTATCAAAAAGGTGAACTCGAGATATCAAATGAATGGCATACTTGACTTGAGAGAGATATATACCATCATTCCCGTGGTAGACCTCAAACTTAAGAAAATAGCTCAATCTGCCAAGATCCTTCATTTCAAATTAAAGGCCTAAGTATGTCTTGAGCTTCTAAACTCTTGTATCATCACTACTTGTGATAATTATGTCATCAACATACAGCAAAAACATAACAATATCACGATCAGTGGAGCGAACAAAAAGAGCCGAGTTGTGAGGACTATAAGAAAAATTTAATCGATTCGTAGAGCTTGCTTGATCCTATATAATGCTTGATAAAAATGACAAACCTTGTCTTTTAGATGTTGATACTTAAGGGCTTCATATACACTTCTTCTAGATCTCCATTTGGAAAGGTATTTTTAATATCCATCTAGTAAAGAGGCCAGTACTTAACAGCAATAATGGCAAGAAGGCCGTGAACAGAAGTCATGCGGGCAACAGGTGCAAAAGTTTCCCCATAGTGATGCCATACTCCTAAGTGTATCCTTAGGCCATCGAGCGGGCCTTATGTTGCTTCAAAGAGCCATCAGAATGAGTCTTGTTCTTGTAGACCCATTAACACCCAACTAAAGTTTTACAAGGAGGAAGATTAATAAGATCTCAAGTATTTATTTTCTCTAGGGCCTGCAATTCATCATCCATAGCTTGCTGCTAAAGGGGATCACGAGAGGCTTCCTTAAAGGATTTGAGTTCCTGGAAGTGGAAAATGGTGAAAAAATAATAGTAATCATTGAGGTAAGAGAGAAGATTTCTTACACAATTAGGCCGAGAGTCTGTGAATGATATGGGCTCAGTAGGCGTAACTATACTGGAGGAGCAATAGGTGTGACAGTAGGCACATCTAGAGTAGGTGCAGCATCAATTGTGGAAACAAGCTTAATAGAAGAATCTATGCTTGAGTCACTAGGAAAAATATCAATAAAAATAGGGGGTGAAAAAGATGAGAATAATGAGAGATCAATTAGAGATGAAAATTTGATATTTTCCCAAAAGAAAACATGCTGAGAAATACAAACACGATGAGAGAGAGGATTCCAGCAACAATAACCCTTATGCTTAAAATCATAACCAAGAAAACAACAAACATGAGAATGAGTTTGAAGTTTGTTTGTCTCATGAGACTAAAAAGAACAAAACAAACATAAGCAAAGACTTTTGAGAGACTATAATGAGGAGGATAACTATAAAGATGCTTAAAAGGAGAAATGTTATTAATGACAGGAGACAGGAGTCGATTGATGCAAAAGACAGAGGTTAAGACTTCTTCACCCAAAAGTCATTCAAGACAAGAAGAAGAAATGAGCAATGCTCTAACAAAATTAAAAATATGACGGTGTTTATGCTCAACACAACTATTCTGTTGAGAAGTATAAGGACAAGAATATTGAGAAATAATGCCCTGAGAATTGAGAAAGGTGAGTAATTTAGAGTGATAATATTCCAAAGCATTATCACGACTAAAAATTTTAATGACTTTAGAATAATAAGTGTGAACCATAGTAGCAAATTTGATATAAAATTTAGGTAAATTAGATCAATGTTTTGTCATATAAATTTAGGTAAAATGAGAAAAATTATCAATAAAAATCACAAAATATTGAGAGAGATATATACCATCATTCCCGTGGTAGACCTCAAACTTAAGAAAATAGCTCAATCTGCCAAGATCCTTCATTTCAAATTAAAGGCCTAAGTATGTCTTGAGCTTCTAAACTCTTGTATCATCACTACTTGTGATAATTATGTCATCAACATACAGCAAAAACATAACAATATCACGATCAGTGGAGCGAACAAAAAGAGCCGAGTTGTGAGGACTATAAGAAAAATTTAATCGATTCGTAGAGCTTGCTTGATCCTATATAATGCTTGATAAAAATGACAAACCTTGTCTTTTAGATGTTGATACTTAAGGGCTTCATATACACTTCTTCTAGATCTCCATTTGGAAAGGTATTTTTAATATCCATCTAGTAAAGAGGCCAGTACTTAACAGCAATAATGGCAAGAAGGCCGTGAACAGAAGTCATGCGGGCAACAGGTGCAAAAGTTTCCCCATAGTGATGCCATACTCCTAAGTGTATCCTTAGGCCATCGAGCGGGCCTTATGTTGCTTCAAAGAGCCATCAGAATGAGTCTTGTTCTTGTAGACCCATTAACACCCAACTAAAGTTTTACAAGGAGGAAGATTAATAAGATCTCAAGTATTTATTTTCTCTAGGGCCTGCAATTCATCATCCATAGCTTGCTGCTAAAGGGGATCACGAGAGGCTTCCTTAAAGGATTTGAGTTCCTGGAAGTGGAAAATGGTGAAAAAATAATAGTAATCATTGAGGTAAGAGAGAAGATTTCTTACACAATTAGGCCGAGAGTCTGTGAATGATATGGGCTCAGTAGGCGTAACTATACTGGAGGAGCAATAGGTGTGACAGTAGGCACATCTAGAGTAGGTGCAGCATCAATTGTGGAAACAAGCTTAATAGAAGAATCTATGCTTGAGTCACTAGGAAAAATATCAATAAAAATAGGGGGTGAAAAAGATGAGAATAATGAGAGATCAATTAGAGATGAAAATTTGATATTTTCCCAAAAGAAAACATGCTGAGAAATACAAACACGATGAGAGAGAGGATTCCAGCAACAATAACCCTTATGCTTAAAATCATAACCAAGAAAACAACAAACATGAGAATGAGTTTGAAGTTTGTTTGTCTCATGAGACTAAAAAGAACAAAACAAACATAAGCAAAGACTTTTGAGAGACTATAATGAGGAGGATAACTATAAAGATGCTTAAAAGGAGAAATGTTATTAATGACAGGAGACAGGAGTCGATTGATGCAAAAGACAGAGGTTAAGACTTCTTCACCCAAAAGTCATTCAAGACAAGAAGAAGAAATGAGCAATGCTCTAACAAAATTAAAAATATGACGGTGTTTATGCTCAACACAACTATTCTGTTGAGAAGTATAAGGACAAGAATATTGAGAAATAATGCCCTGAGAATTGAGAAAGGTGAGTAATTTAGAGTGATAATATTCCAAAGCATTATCACGACTAAAAATTTTAATGACTTTAGAATAATAAGTGTGAACCATAGTAGCAAATTTGATATAAAATTTAGGTAAATTAGATCAATGTTTTGTCATATAAATTTAGGT